TTAATAGGATAGTTTAAGGATATAAATACCATCAGAATTACCCTTCTGTTCCTACAAGGAAGAGGAATTGAGATCTCAGCAGCTGCCTCCTACCAGTCTTGTTTCCTCCAGTTCCATATTGAAGCGTATCTGCTAGGTGTCTGCAGGTTTGGCATTCTATATGGGTTTTAAAGAAAGCTAGAAATTGATTAAAGGAAGTAGAGGAGAAAACCAGCTTCTACACTACCAGGAACTACAATAATTTCCTTGCTGATCCTATGAATTTTTTACTTCAAATTTAGTCATGATTTAATCCCACCCAAAGAAGTTAGTAATGCCAACTGCATTTCTCCAGGGCTGCTACAGATAAGTCCTGGAGGAAACAGCTAAAATCCAAACAACTCTTGGAAGAGTGGGAGGTAATGCCAGAAAAGCCATTTAAAAGAAAAGTCTTCTAAAAATCATGAGACTGACTGCTTCTTTGTCTACAACATCTAGCACCTTGGGTTTTGTAGGCTTCTCCTTTTGCCCTGGCCCTTGGTTTGAGGGGAAACATCACAAGCAAGAGTTGCAGAGTTTAGATGGCTAGATGTAGACTTTCCTGAAACTCCAGTACTCCTTTCTATAGGTAGATAGATAGTTTAGCTTAGATTAGATAGGAAGATAAATACTATAGTTTCTTTGTTGTCTCTTCCCATTAAAAATGTGGTCTCTTTCCAAGCTGGAGTTGAAATTGCTCCTGTTGCTTAGCATTGCAGAACAATACGCGGAAAAGGAATGTAAGGAAACTGGCCTCAGAAAATACATGAAAGGCAGTATAACAGAAGCTACTGGCCTGCAGGCAGATGGTTGTCAGTCCAAGCATCATAGGATGGACAGGAGGACATAGGTCAGATTAAAAGACCTCTGAATGGTCCTGTCCAGATAAGATCTTTTCTTGATAGGTGTGTGTGTGTGTGCATGCTTGTGTGTCTGTAGGGTATAATTGCTGGTGTGTATGCATTTTTTCACTTTTCTTTTTTTGACCTGTTATTGCATCTAATATGTTTCTCTATCACCTGAGTAGCTGCAGAACATCAAGAAAGAAACACTTACAAATTGTGTAAAAGGTTCTAAAGAAGTGATTTTCCTGAGGAAAGAAAATAAGGAAGCTACAGCTGCATTTGTCCATGTTGGAGTCGAAAAGAAAGTTTTCTTAGATGTTTTCAATGTATTGAAAATAAGTAGTTAAGCTGATCCAGTGCTTTGATACTTCTAAGGATTTCACCAAATAAAAACAGATGTTGTGAACGTGTCTTCTATTTTCCACTTAACAGTTTGCAGTTTGGGATGGAGATGTTCACAGCCAACCTTGTGCCTGATTTTTGGTATTTGCTCTTTCAACTCTAGTTTAAAATGAACAGGAGAACAGCCTGGCTAAACAGCAGTCTCTCAATAAGTTGCAGCTCAAAAGGGAATCTTATAAAAGTGGAAACTCGGTCATAGTACTAGAGAAAAACATTGCATGGGTATGTAGGGAAAAAAATTGGAAGGCCAAGGCACAATTTCAGATGCAGCTGGCAAGAGATGTAAAAGGCAATAAAAAGGGATTCTACAAATATGTCAAAAGTAAAAGGAAGACCAGAGAAGCCATAGGTCACTTACAGAATGTTGAAGGCAATCTAGTTACGGATGAGGCAGAGAAGGCTCAAGTAGTGAATGTTTTTTACCTTAGTCTTCTCAAATAGGGGAAGTTACCAGATGATAAGGCAGCTGGCAGCAAAGATAGGGAAGAAAAGAAACAGCCTAGAGTAGTAGAAAAGCAGGTTAGAGATTAATTTGAGAAGCTAGATGCTTTCAAGGCAGCAGGGCCAGATGGGATGCACCATAGGGTACTGAAGAAATTGGCTGAGGTAATTTTCAGAGCCTTTAGCTCTCCCCTTTGAGAGCTTGTGGAGGTTGGGTGAGATCCCAGATGTCTGGAAAAGGGGCAAATATAGTGCCCATCTTTAAGGAAAGGAGTTACAGATTAGTCAGCCTGACCTCAATACCTTCCAAGATCATATCATTAGTCCTCAAGGAATCTATTGTGAAGGACCCAGAGGAGAGCAAGGTGATCAGGAACAGCCAGCATGGAGTCACCAAGAGCAAGGCATAGGTGACCAACCTGATTTTCTTCTATGATAAGATGACAGGCTCTGTGGATGTGGGGATGAGTAGTGCATGTGATATACCTTAACTTTAGCATGACTTTGGACGTCGTCTCCCATGATATTCTCCTAAACAAGTCCAGAAAATGCAGACTAGGTGAAAGTACCATAAGATGCATACAAAATTGGTTACATCATCGCGCTCAACAAGTCATCATCAATGCCTCAATGTCTAGATGGGAGGAGGTATCAAGTGGGTTGCTCAGGGTCTGTCTTGGGTTTGGTATTATTTCATGTCGTCACTAATGATTTGGGCAGTGGGATCAAGTGCTTGCTTGGCAAATTTGCTGATGATGTCATTGTTGGGTAGAGCTAGAATCTGGAATGATATGGATAGACTGGAGAAATGGTCTGCAATCAATCAAACGAGATTCAGCAAGGACAATTGCCAAATCCTGCTCTTGGGACAGAATAATTTCATGCACAAATAAAGACTGGGAAATGACTGGCTAGGCTATAGTACTGCAGGGAAAGACCTGGGGATTATGATGGACCATAAGCTGAACATAAACCAACCATGTGCTTTTATTGCAAAAAAACCCCCAACAGCATGGGAAGTGATTCTTCTGCTCTATTTAGCACTGGTGAGGCCTTGCCTGGTGTCCTGTGCCAGTTTTGGGTCCCACACTTCAATACACTTGTGGAGGACAGATTGAAGAGTCCAACAGAGAGGAACAAAAATGATTAGAGATGTGAGAAACATAACTTTTGAGGAAAGGCTGAAAGAAGTAGGGCTATTTAGTGTGGAGAAGGGAAGGCTGAAGGAGGATTTGATAACAGCCTTCAAATACGTGAAGGACGATTATGGAAAGGATGGAGATGGGTTCTTCTCTATGGTCACAGGGGCCAAAACTAGGAGCAAAGGCCTCAAGCTTCAGGAAGGGGAATTTAGGTTGGAGATTAGGCAGAGCTTTCTGATTATGTGGGTGGTCAAGCATTGAAACGGGTTACCTAGAGACTCTGGAATCACCATGCTTGGAAGTTTTCAAGAGCAGGTTAGGTATCCAGGTTGTAGCCATGTTGGTCTACGCTACAGGAAAAGGCAATCAGGACTCATAGTAAAAATGATATCTTTTATTAGACCAACAAGATTTTTGCAAAAAAAAAATTTTAATTGCAAGCTTTCGGGCACAAACACCCTTCATCAGGCATTGGAGGAAAGATTGTAAAAGTTCTGGGTAGAAATGGAAGTTCATATTTCATAGGATTTCACAGAGGAGTCAATAGATGGAAAACTCCTCTGGGCAGTCAGTTCATAGCTGCTATGGAGCCTTTCACCTCCTGTGAGGATCTGTGATGATGCAAATTACCTTGAAACAAAGACAGGAGCAGAATCTCAGGTTTCAGGGGGTCACAGTTGCTTTCTGCTTGCTAGGCTGGGATGGCTTGGTCAGGGGTGTTCCTGCCTTGAACAGGGTCTAGATGACCTTGTAAGTTTTCTTCCAGCCTTACTTTCCTATGGTCCTAAGACAGAATAGTTGAAAATATGTCTGAATTAGGTATTGTTTACAGGTTCTAAGTAAAATGTCTGGCAATTTGAGATCATCCATATTTTTCTACAATGGTTCAAAATATTGTGTTGCTTGGTTAGGTTTTCTGCTTAGCGGCAGTCAATCATCGACCAAGACATGTATGTCCTCTCTCCTTCTAACAGCAGCTCTTTTAGATCAACCATTATATAAAATACTCAGTTCCTCAAAGATGGTTAAGGACATTTGCTGAGAACTATAGCTGTTGGGAGCTTCTGGTTGGTCATCTTAACACCTTTCTTTTCAGAAGTAAACAGATTGGGTCCAACTCTTCCCTGCTTGGCACAGGACCTGATGAGGAAGGGGCAAAAAGAGAGATTTGTGTCATCTTTATAATCCCCCAGGCTACCAAAAGTCAGTTTTAACCAGGTGTAATTTAGAGCATCCTCGGAATACTTATGCTTTGTGTCTCCCCCCTGCAGCTGCCAGAGAGCTGGGGATTACTAGACCAAGTAAGCACTCCATCTGCCTCCTTTTTTACCAGTTTTAGCCCTGATGTCTCTTATGATAAAGACTGGGAAGGTTGGTGTAGAGCGAGCTGCGCAAGGATTTCCCTTGAACTGAAGGGAGTCCCTAAGAAGCTGATCAAATAGGCTATAAAGCCTCCTCGGCATTTCTTTACCACTTAGTATATGGACACAATCTGGCCTGTGTCTAGCAGGACTTTCAGAAAAGCATCTGGGACTCAACTGTGGTACTATATTGTTTTGTGCATCTTACCACCCTTCCCACAACAAGCTGACTTGCTCTATGCTTGATCAGGATGGGGGAGGGAAGAGGGAGAAGCTCCACTGTCACCCCACTTGCTTTGTGGAATTGTGGGAAAGAGAGTTGCTATGCTTCAGAGAGTGAGGGGTCAGCAATTCTGTCTAATCCCTGTGCAGGCTGTGAAGACAGAGAAAACCCTTGTGTGGTCCTTTTACCTGTTCTATAGTTCCATAAATGCCTAGCAGAATCTGGCTTTTAGTGTTCTTCTTAATATAAAGCCTTGCTCTTCTATGTTTTTTTGTGAGTGAGCAATGGAAGGAATGGACAAAGACTCTCTTCCTCCACACCTTGTATGATCCATGTAAAGGTGTGGAAGAATTTTAGAACCTGAGTTCTTGTGAGTGCTCCTTGGTCGACAGTATGCTATTGGGAGTGAGGAGAAGGCAGGACCTTGCTTCTGTTTGCCAGGAGATCTGAACAGTTGTGCAAGAATAAGGAACAATGTCAGCTGCACTATATATAACTATAGCCTCTGTCCACCCAAAGACATGGGCACAGAGATCAAATTCTCCCCAGTGTTTTCTGGTAGCAGAGTCCTTGTTTTGGACTCAGTTTGTTACTGTCCTACCTTTGCACTCCTTGCAGCTGGGGCAGTGGCACCTTTCTGTTATTACCCCTGCCTCCATTGTCTTGAGCCAGTGCAGTAGTGAAATGGCTGTTGAAGTATTATATAGTATGGTCTATGGTACACTATATGTTACACCTTAGCTGCATCACCTAAGGATCAGTTGGCACCGTATCCTTTTGGGGTACAGCCTTTTGCTCTACAGCATTTTTCCTACCACTCTCTGGCCCCTTACTCTTTTGACTGCAGTAAGAGGCCAAAAACTCTGTCTATTTGCATTTCTTTACTTTAAAATTTCTTAATGTAGGAGAAGTAAGTAATGTAGCTATTTAATCCCTACTGTATCTCTGCAATATCAGATGTCTTGGAGCCACCCATTGGAAAGTTGAGCCTTCTTTAATGAACCTAAAAAGTGCCACACTCAGTCAGACCGATGGCCTGTCTAGGCCCAACTTTCCAGCGTCTTTAGTATGAAAAGTATCCCTAATCAAAAGTTAACTTCTAGCCTTCTTTGTCTCCTGTCATCTTAAATTATATCCACAGTAATCAGATATGTGGTCTTTAAAACCATGACCTCATAGGTATTTTTGTTAGAACCACATTCCTGGACTATGTTATAGATTAATTTCTTGGCAAACAGTTCTCAGGGGGAAAAAAAGTCATTGTCCCTGTTGATCAAGAGAATCATGCCAGAATCTCCAGTGCCAACAATTGTTTAAATGTAATTATAGGTAACATAATTCTAAGCCAGTTTGTGCAGAGGTAAGCTATCCTATAAAGGTGACATGTATCATGGCATCCCTGAAACTATACCCTGTGGCTGCCTATTCACATGCTCTTTGGTGTTCTAATTAGACTGCTGCAGTGTCAATATAGTGTCACATGTATTAAGCCCCGATACATTTTTAAATGGCCACAGGGTGCTTTAACTAAACCTCATCGACTGAGGTTTGAATAAAGCATCCTGCAGACATTTTTAAGCATGCTGGGGCTTAATACATGTAACAGTGAGACATTTTAATTAGAGCGGCTGCCCAAGAACTGTTCTAATGAAAATGTGCCTTCCCACATCAGAGTACATGTATAAGCAGCCATCATGTTCTGCCTAGCACTCTAAAAGTTTATAAGGAAAGACAATCAGAAGGTGATACCAACAAGCATAAAAGGTTTGGGGTGAAGCACTCAATGATTTCTAATAGCTCCTTCAATTGGAATCCAATGAATAGGGATGGGAAATGTCTCTTCTGCCTTAAGAGCCCTTTCATGTGGAGTCCACCTGGGCTCAGCTGCATCTCTTGTCCTTTTCCATGTATAAATGAGCCTCACTGGAGATGCCAGGAGATTGGTGGAACCAATATGTTGTCCATCAATATGCTGATGACACCTGGTTTTACATCTCATTTTCAGCAGACAGAAACAGCAGCAATTGCCAGTGCCTGTAAGAGATAAGCATATGGTTGAGAGGCAACTGACTCAAGATTAATCCAGGTAAGACGGAAGTGATGCTGATGGGAAGAGGGAGAGATGCTAAAAGAAGCTAACAACAATATGCCTGCACCTTACTTATATGACTCCAGTTCTGGTGTCCTGATTTCTATATTGTTTGGGAATGGGTGGGATAGACAGCAATAGTATGAGAAACAAACAGCAAGGGAAAGAAGAATCAAGGAGCCTTTTTGCCAGGAAATCAGACAGGTCTGTGTTCCTACATGCTGTTCAGATGTGTGCACGTTGCTTTAAAGAATTAATCTACTTGTGCTTTTCAGTGGCATACATGAGTGCTTTACAAGCAGCTGGGCAGCCTCCCTGTGATATCAGAGGGTAGCACTATTGCCATCCAATCCCAAAGATTATCTATTCCATAGGTAAGGAACTGAGGAGAGGTGAAGCAATGCAGCTGGATGCCTGGGGCAGCTACAACACATGGGGACAGTGGTGACTTCCAGCTGCTGCTCATGCCACCAACACAATAGCACAGCAGCAGTAGCAGTATTTCACTGCCACCCTTCCCACTCCTAGTTTGCACTGGGGGAAGATGCCCCAATCACTCCTGTGTTGTTATGCTACAGATAGTGAAGCACGCAGTTATTGGGTCAAAAGTACTCCCTGATCTGGAGCATCCAACCTGAGATGCCTAGAACCCGATGTTTCACGTGGCTCAGCAGTATGTGGAACTCTGTAAGTCTGTCTAACTGGTGCAAGGTATCATGCTGACATATGCCACAGCCACTCCATGCATGTGACGTCCCACGCCAGACGTTGATAGGCTCTGCTGATAGCTCATGCAGCTGCTCCAGTTAGGAAGCTAGTGCATGGGAAGCAGGGGCAGCAGTGATCAGCATAGCACTGACTGAATAATGCACCATACCCTCTGTTTTCAAAGCTTAGATGCCATTGACTTCACTTTCCAATGGGTGCCCTCAATGCCTGTGAAATATCAGAACTCAGGGGCTCAAATGTGGCATTAGCAATAGATCTGGAAAAATTAAAACACCATTTTTCAGTGAATTTGCTGTTCATTGAAAGAGTTTAGCCCAGCTCTAGCTGCTGGTCAGGTCCCTGCTCATTTTGTGATTCCAAGGCCAAGTGACCTGCTCTGGAACCTGTGCCTGGCCTCAGCATCCTAAGCCTTGATTTCAAAAATAGATTGTGATTGTAAAGAAAATCATTAAACCATGTTGTGGATTTAAACCAACAGGGTGCTGTCCTCTGAGCCTTCAGACAAGCTGAGACAGCAGCTCTGGTATGGAAACAGTCTCATTCACCTCAGTGGGCTTTGAAACCTACAGAAGATCATTTAAGTCAGTGCTTCCCAACTTCTTAGCAGCCAGCGGCCTCAAGCCCCATGGGCTGTATTAGCAGGGGCCTCATGCCCCATGGGCCACACCAATACAGGTGCCCCCCCTGCTGCACCAGGGTGCTTCCTCCTATTGCTGAGCCATACGCACAGGTGTTTCCCTCACCCACTCTGCACCACACATGGGCATAGGTGCCCCAGCTCCCTGGGTGTGTGCTCTCTTCAGCACTGTGACACACCCCCACACCATGGGTTTTCCCCAGCACTGTAGGTTGTGCTATGCTGCTCTGCCCTGCCCCTTGGAAGCAGAAGCCAGAGGGGCAGGGAGCGAAAAGCATCTGGCTGCTGCTGCTGTTGCAGACAAAGCAATGTAGGAGGGTGGGGGGGAGCAGCAGCCATGTGAGAACCCAGGGACCACAAACTTACTCCTTGCAGGCCACATGGGCTGCCAGTTGGACAGACATGATATAGATAATTCCCTTGATCATTACACCTTGGGTTGTTTTACACAAATATCTAACAAAAATGATGTATCCTATAATTCCCAACTGCCTCCCTAGCTCATTAAAAACTTAAATATTTTAATGAGCCTGTTGCAGAATTTCCAGTTTGTTGCAGCACCCTAGAGTCCTGGAATGCAGTTAAAGGCCAGCTCACTGCACCCAGTGGGGTTTTGTTAATGACGCCCAGAACAGAAATGAATTCTAGCAAAGGTTGTGGAAATAGTTGCTGTTGCCCATTGAGTTCTTGTCTGGCAAGCAATTTGACTGAATGAGTGATTGAGCAAATGGACCCTAACGTTCAAATAATGTGAACGCACTCAGATATGGTGCCAAAGCCATCCTTTTCACTGCTAGATGCAGTGATGATGCATCTGCAATGCTGATGCAAAGGAGAATGCAGTCATCAAATCAGAAATACTGAGAAGTAGAGACATTTAGAGAGACGTATTCTTGATAGCATCCTTCAGTTTCTTTACACTTCATTTTTGATTAAAAAAAAATGACAATAGAACAGGCAGGCACAAATCAAATACTTGTATTATTTTCTGATGTGTACTAATTTTACTGGGGTTATACAAACTGCAGGATAAATTTTGTTTTAAGCTAATTAGAAATTGTCTTATTTGCTGGTTTTAAATTGTTATGCTTTGGCAAAAAATTCATATGTCTGATTGGCCAGATGTGTTTATATTTGATTGGCAATGGTGACAAGCACTATTATTCTTTATACTGTAGTAACACTGTATTTGTCATTCTCAAGAACAGGGCAAGGAAAGTCATTGAACTTCTGTCCTGGCGTACTTAGATAAATGTTATCTAGTTTATCATACTAATAAAATACCATAATATTTCACTAAAAAACTGTATTTCCTTGACCTTATGAACTTTGGCATGTGTCACAATTGCAAGTGACATTTCATTTTTTGTGACCAAAAGGTGATCAGTGCATTAGAATTCTTAAGATTCCCACTATAAGCAGACAGTCATGTAGATATATATATGTATAGTGGGTAGACCAGTATGCTCCTCAGGGCACAGAAAACGCCTACTTGATTGTGCAACATACCTGTCATACTTTTGGGCACTAATAATTGTTATTGCTAAGAGAAAAAGGTGTCATAATCACTTCCACCACATTCTCATAGTGGTAGGAATCATCATCTTAAGCATTCAAAAAGAGGGTAATGTATCTTTAGAAAGGGTAATCAGTGTATATGGACTCAAAGTAGAGACTTGAACTGAACATAAATTGTTTGATTAAGGTGTTGCCATCAATAAGAGAGAGGAAATATCCTAGATAGACTGGCTAGGGATACTGCCCTCTGGCAGCAGTCTTCTAGTAAGCAAGACCACTGTAGTAGTGCTTTCATTAAACAGAAAGCTCTTTGAAACCAGTTTTCTGCCAGTAGGTGTCAGTGCAAACAAGCTAAAGTGGAGTCAGACTAAGCATAATCTCGGGAAAAAAAGTTGCTCTAAATTACTTAAAAATTGAGTGCAAGACCTCTTAAAAAGGAAATAATGAAAAAGATCTCATCTCATTAACAGAATGTGTGCCTTAGAAACAGAAGAGAAAAAAGAAAGTTCCAACATGTTCAGTTCAGGCATGTCTGAACCTTTGATATTCTAAGTCAAAATGAAATATGTGACTTTACTTTGTTGAATCAAATGGTAGCATTTAGTTTTCACTGGGCCTAACATTAAAGAGCAATTGCCAAAGTTGCTCCAGTGCCTTACAGCAGCTTTAGTCTGTAGGCCTCATGCCCTGTTTTGCTCTGGAAAAAAATGTGTCAGTTCATCTACATCTCCCATGATGCATGAAGGTGGGTCAGCAAGAGGGAGATTGCAGTGTATCTTCAAAAATGTAGTCCAGTCAATGAGCTCAGGCTACAAGGGAGAATGGGAGCATGTGGCAAGGCACCACAACAGCTCTGGTGAACACAGAAGAATATCATACTGACTCAGGACAGAAATTTCAAATTCTGTTCAACAAATTCTCTCTCTCTCTCTCCCTCTCTCTGTTTATATATAGATAGATAGATATAGAACCAGTGTAAATAAGACCTGAGCCAGATCTATTGTTCCTATTTTACAGCAGTTAAGAAGATTGCCCTGCAATAGGTCAAGTGTGTAAGAGTTCTTTGCAAATATAGGCACAAGAACCATTTTAAACAAAAACATAAAACTTGGAGGGGGAGTGGGTAGAAACCCCAGAAAGGTGCTCATACGACATATTAGCAGGTTCTGGCATAGTCTAGCCCCCACCACTAACAAGGGTGATCATACCTCTATATATATAGAGAGAGAGAGAGAGAGAATTTGTTGAACAGAATTTGAAATTTCTGTCCTGAGTCAGTATGATATTCTTCTGTGTTCACCAGAGCTGTTGTGGTGCCTTGCCACATGCTCCCATTCTCCCTTGTAGCCTGAGCTCATTGACTGGACTACATTTTTGAAGATACACTGCAATCTCCCTCTTGCTGACCCACCTTCATGCATCATGGGAGATGTAGATGAACTGACACATTTTTTTCCAGAGCAAAACAGGGCATGAGGCCTACAGACTAAAGCTGCTGTAAGGCACTGGAGCAACTTTGGCAATTGCTCTTTAATGTTAGGCCCAGTGAAAACTAAATGCTACCATTTGATTCAACAAAGTAAAGTCACATATTTCATTTTGACTTAGAATATCAAAGGTTCAGACATGTCTGAACTGAACATGTTGGAACTTTCTTTTTTCTCTTCTGTTTCTAAGGCACACATTCTGTTAATGAGATGAGATCTTTTTCATTATTTCCTTTTTAAGAGGTCTTGCACTCAATTTATATATATATATAGAGAGAGAGAGAGATGTGGATAAATGTTGGCAAAATGGAAATTTTCCTACTGAAAATTTGGAACTTGTGGAAATCAGTTTATATGGAAACTAGCTTCCATCAAAAGACAGGTGACCTGTCTTTATGCTTATACTGCAAAAAAATGCAGAATAGGTAGAATTCAGCACCCTCATCAGTGGTGGGGGTAGACTAAGCCAGAACCTGCTAATATGTCATATGAGCACCTTTCTGGGGTTTCTACCCACTCCCCCTCCAAGTTTTATGTTTTCATTTAAAATGGTTCTTGTGCCTATATTTGCAAAGAACTCTTACACACGTGACCTATTGCAGGGCAATCTTCTTAACTGTTGTAAAATAGGAACAATAGATCTGGCTCAGGTCTTATTTACATTGGTTCTACAGTAGCAACAATTTACTAGTTTCAATTAAACTATTCCTAATTTTCACTGGCATAATTGATATCAGAATCAGTACTAACTGCTCTAAGAAACGTTAACCATCCCAATTCATTTCAAAGAGGTATTTAAATAAGAAACCTAGAAAGAAGGGTATCAGAGTCAACACTAACCATTTCTCTGTTGATTGTTCTAGTTGTCTGGATGTGTGATTTTGTGTGTGAACACAATACCACTGATCCTCCCAAAGCCATCATCCGTTCAGCAATCTTCCCACTAAAGAGGCCCAGTACTGAATTGGAAGGAACTGTAACTACTCCAGTCATTAGGTAAGTTGCTGAGAGCAGAACGGTCGCGCATTTGAGAAATGTAGTGATGTGGCACTTCCAGTACGTTTGCTTTACTGAATTTGATGCAGGAAATACCAGGGAAAATCCTCTGTCCTTTTCAGTTAGGTGATCACAATTATCTCTTCTGTCCTTTGTTTCACTGGTAATAAGTAATAATCACTGCCTCAAGTAGATAAATGACCTTCTGGAGCAAACCGCAGGCCTGGGATGCAACCACAGAAACTGGAAGCAAGATAATGGACAGTGAAATTCTATTTAAAATTCTAGTGAAGTGAGCAGATGCTTGATAAATTCTGAGCTTCCAAGGGTTTGGGTTTTTTTTAAGCATTTATAGTATATATTGCTACAATAGGGGCAATTATGGCCTGGTAGCCTTGTGATTCAGCACACCTCTGCATTCAGCAGAGTACACTAAGACAATCTGGAGATTTTTCTCCATATTTTTACAATGTTCTATATTTGCAGTGTATGTACTGAAGCACTTGTATGCTGAAGTATGGCCTATGGAAGGTTCTTCCTATCAGTAAGGCACCTGATGGATTGGATTACATGGAACACATTTGTCCTTGAATAGTTAAGAGCTATGAACGTTTGAAACTGGAATGTTTGTTAGACTCCTGGTGAAATTCTAACCCTGTTGGAATCAGTGGCAGTTTTACCAGTGACTTCAGTGGGATCAGGATTTCATTCTTTGGTCAGTGACATGTGAGTATTGAAGCCCATAGCCCATATTCCGGAAACCTTTACACTACAGTCATCATGGAGCAATCCAGCTTTATGACCATTTAATTACCAGGTATTTCACAAACCAGTACACTACAGGAACTAGGAGCCAATACAGCTTTGCAAAGCAACAATTTAATTGCAGGGTGGGGACACACATGATATCAGGGCAGAGCAGCACTTCAATATGTACACTGTACATATTGATATTGCATAAAAAAACCACAGGAGTCTCATGATAGTGCCTTGGTGTTCTCTGTTCACTGATGACGTCTCATGAAAATGTGTTTGTTCTGATGGCCCCTATTCCAGGGATATCTGTAACATGATGAAACCATTCCCTAGAGGTTGAAATGTCATCTGTATTAAGCCTCTATAAACCTGGTTGGTGTTAAAAACCCCCTCCAAAATCTTATTTGTGCATTTCATTTATAGAGCAATTTATAGTAAAAAGAAAATGCTTCAGATTCTCTCTATTAAAACAGAGATGGCCCATTGTCCTCTTTCTAACATAGAGATGTTGCTGTTGAATTATGTCCTGTCTAGTATTATCTGTACACATGGACTGGATTTGGTCTTTCTGTAATGATTTTAAGGCTTCATTCAATGCTCTTTTGCAGTCAATGGTTGTCTTTCCATTACTTTAAATGGGTTTTTAATTCAGTCATTTGAGTGCCAAGCAAGTGCTTCTGAACTAATTAATAATACTTAGCATTGTTAAACTGCTATGTATTTATACAATTTAATTTTATGCTAAATTAATTCTGAAATGTAATTAATTGAAACCTGTCATCTACACAGAAAAGAAAGATGGCTTTTTCTTTTAGAAGAAAAAATATGGACAAACCCAAAAAGCACCAAAATGAAATACATTGCTAACACTAAAAAAGATTTATTTCTGCTTACAATTACGTTGCTGTAAAATGAGAGCTATAACTATTATTTCAATGAAATCTGCTGTAGATTTACATTTGTGGAGTGGGGACAATTTGGCCTGTAGTGATGATGGTATTGGAGTGTAATCCATGAGCATACAGAAAGGAAGAGGATCTTAAAGAAGACACTATAATGAAATTAATTTGTTGATAAGGCACTGATATGACACTCAGAAGAGCCAGGTTTAATTCCTGGACTTTAGCTCTTACTTACGGTGTAAAAGTGTGCACAGGGGCAGTTACTGAAAAGCAGCTGGCACTCAGGCTCCACAACATATTACATTTATGCCCCAACCAACACATTAATTGTGGCATAAATAGAAAGGGTGCTAATTTCAATCTTCTTTAAAAATCTATTTATGACTGAATATGTGTCCAGGGTCAACAAGTGAACATGTGTCCATGAGTGACAGTTGATTGTCAGTCCCAAGGCCCAGACTGCACCTGGGTGTGGAATGGCCCTGGGACTACAATCCTCTGCTAGTTAGCCCAGGCCCAAGGTTGGTGGTAGTAGGGGAGCCAAAGGGATTTCCCTACTCAGGTCTTTAAAAAAATTACTTGGCAGTGGCTCCCAGTGTAGGGAGCTGAAGGGATTTCCACTACCAGGGACTCTAAATCCTGTACCAGGCAGCTCTGATCCCCCATGCATGACCAGACCTGCTGTGCATGAGGTTTTGATAATCAGAGCAGCTGCCATGACAGCCCCAGTTGAACTGGACTTGTGAGGATCCAAGGTTGGAAATCAGATGGCAGAAAGCCAACCAAATTTGTGAAACCAAGGTTGGGGCCAACATTTAGCTGATTATTAGCCCCAGTACCCAGACAGCTCTGGGCTTCAAAATGGACCCAGAACAGTCTGGCTGGGACCAACGATCAGCTGACTATTGGCCTCACATGTGGGGCTGCAGCACCCAGCTTTGAACTTGCCGGTGTCAGACACACCTGGGCTCCCTCTGCACTGGCAAATAGTAATGGCATGATTGGGGCCTGAACCCTGATCCCAGAATTGCACCTCCTACTATGCACGTGTCACATGGCAGAAGGAGGGATTACTGGGACTGGAAAACAAATTCCATTGCACCATTAAAGGAATATGTGCTAGGGGCCTCAGTAAATTCCTTGCCTTGTTTTCTTTGTGGTAACTTACTTGTATGTTCATGCTCTAACTCGCAATAGTGTTGAAGGGATATGTTCATAAATGGTTATGAGTATGCACCCTGGTTTTCTCTGTTTAAAAATCACAAGTTCTCCAATTAAAAAAACCCACATTCTGTGTTTTTCCACAATTAAAATGAAACTCCACTTATAGGTATCAGTTGAACACAATGTTTTATTGATATATTTACAATTTTAAAGCAGTTTGGAAGACTACCAGTGCCTCAATCACTATAATAAAATAAATTCTAAATACCTATAAATTTTGGCATTTGATTTTTTGGGTTTTTGGGAAAGCAAAGCTTCCCCTGCCCCATTTGCTCACCAAGATGCAGTTCTAGCTGCAGCTGTCTTCCCACTGCTTTGTGGCACTGAGCAGCCCTGATATCCTGGTGCCCTGCCCATGCTATTGCCTCTCACTCCCAAGCCATAGGTCCCCCCAACACTGCCAGTGCCCCTCACTCCTTATTCACAGCCCCCCTGGTCCTGCAAGTGCCCTTCGCTCCTGACCCACAGCCCCCCAGCCCTGCAGGTGCCCCTCACTCCTAACCCATAGCCCCCAGCCCTACTGGGGCCCCTCATTCCCCACCCACAGCCTCCTGGGCCCTGCAAGTGCCCCCCACTCCTCTCCAAAGGCCCCTCTCAGCCCTGGTGTTGCCCCTCACTCCCAACCCACAGCCCCCTGGCCCTGCTGGTGCTCCTTACTCCCCATCCACAGCCCTCTGGCCCTCCCAGCCCTGCCAGAGGGGGCCCCCAGCTGCCAGAGCTATGGGGCCAGCAACCCAGGTCCACAGCCCTCTGCCCTGCTCTGTCCCCCAGCAGTGCCTGAGCCCCGGCTGCTGCCCAGAGGAGGCACCGAGTGCTGCAACCTGAGCGGAGCATGGAACTCAGCTCCCCTTCCCCTGTGGACTGCGCGGCTGGAGCAGAGCCCGTGAAATGGGGTAGATGCAGGTTGGTGGCTGCAGGTTCAGGGTTCCCTCCTCTGCTGCCCCTTTCCCCCTGCCCCCCGGTGCCTCCATGGTCAGCAAGTGGGACCTGGTGCAGTAGGGTAGAGTGGGGCAGGAAGGCTTGGTGCTGCTGCTGGGAGCTCCACACCTCTATGGCGAGGTGCTCCTTTCCCACTCTGCAGCAGCAGGGGTGGCAGCAGTGGGGCCAACCCTGCTCAACTCCCTCTCTCCCTTTTTCACTCTGGGGGTCTCAATCCCCACTACTATGCAAGGAGCTACAGGAGCTGCTCTCCATACTGCTTGGCTGTCATGTGTTTGTGTGTGTGTGTGTGTGTGTGTGTGTGTGCGCGCACATGCACGTGGCACCCCCTGCCTGATTGCCCTTCTTCCACTCCCCCCAGTCCCTTGCAGGCTGGAACTCTGCCAGCCTGCAAGGGGAAACCCACTGTTTCCCGCATTTTTCTCCTTCTCATTTTTCTCTTTAAAAAGAGAAAATCCACATTTTACCATTTTTTCCCATGCCAAATGGAAAACCTAAATCCCTGATTATAAGATATTCAGACATTGGGGAAAAGGAGACAATGTAAGTATGTAGAGAGATGCCTTTTGTTATGATGTACGTCAAACTAGATAAATATACTGGGCCTTCTGATCTTAAAAATATTAAGATATAATAGATTTTTAAAGAAGATTGAAAATATTTCCTTTGAAAGGGAGCATGG